GTCTCTCGATGCTTTGGAATAGTTAAGGATATTATTTGATGTGGAAGGAGACCCAAAGAATTCAATGTTGCTATTGTTTGAAGTTGCAAATGAGACGGGAAAGCGGAAGGCGGAATCGGGGTCCGTTCTTTTCCCGCCATCTTGCATTCTGCTCGACTGTAAACGTTTAGATACGAAACAGCGTAGCTCTCCCTGCCTGCCTGTCTCTCTGTCTGTCTGTCTCTGTCTCTCTCTCTCTCTCTCTCTCTCTCTCTCTCTCTCTCTCTCTCTCTCTCTCTCTCTCTCTCTCTCTCTCTTCTCTCTCTCTCCTCTCTCTCCTATATATATATTATATATATATATATATATATATATATATATATATATATATATACATATATATATCTGTGTGTGTGTATTATATATAATATTTCAATGTTTTAAGAATGTGTATCTTTATTACAACCTCCATATTGTAACTGGTGGAAATGACTGCCCCAAAAGTTTCAACACCACCTTACAAAACTTATCTTGTATACATTAGTGAATATATTGGTTTAACAAACTGGTTATCTATTTTCTGGTAATACGCTTCAATAGCACACACAGAAAAAGAAAAGAGAGAGAGAGAGAGAGAGAGAGAGAGAGAGAGAGAGAGAGAGAGAGAGAGAGAGAGAGAGAGAGAGAGAGAGATAGCGCAGTGAGTTGGAGGATCTTCATTAACAGACTCACGGAATTAATTCAATTTTCTCAAATTCCTCTGTGTTTTCAGCTGCTTTAATACAGTGTTCAGCTGTAAGACGGAGAGCGTAGAGGCCGACCATTAAGTAGTGTGTGGTAAAAGACAACGAAATGGTGGATGAAGTTCTTGTTCTTGTTCTTGGTGGTCCGAGTCTGGTCGTGAGAGTGGGTCGCTCGTATGCAATAAATGCGAACACTGCATCGGAAAGTTTGAAAGTTCCGCTTTAGGTTGGATAAAAGTGGGATTCCGTTTATAGTGCAGCGGTTTTTGTGCCTTACTGGTGTTTTGTCCAAGCAAGAAAGATGCATTTGGCAGTGATGACTGGTGGAAGATAAGTTGATGATGATTGTTCATGATTGTCTTAGATATAACGACTTTATTCTAACGTACTGCATGCAGGTAACCATCACCAACATCTCAAGTGCAGCTTCGCTTTGATAAAATATCTATCTAATTATAGCGTTTATCTATCTATAAATAGTAACAATACTTGACACTATTTTTCATTGTAAAACCCATTTTACTGTTTTATATACCACCTTTTATAATGCAAATAACCCACCAAGATTGCTCTATTAAGTAGTTTCATAATGCAAAAAAAAAAAAAAAAAAATCAAATGACATTTTTTTCAGGATTTCAGAAGACAAACACCAGAAATCAGAGTTGCAACATTTATTTTGTTAAGACAAAGAGGGTGAAAGTGTTCTGGGATATGGTATTCTACGTCGTGTCCATGATCTCTGGGAACAAAAGATGAAACATTTCAGAAAATGAAGTTAGGAAGAATGATCATAAGAATAATTATATCCATTAATAATGCTACATATGTTGTTATTGTCATTATTACCAATGTTGCTATCATTATCATTGTTAGCACATGATCATTATCATTATTGTTATCATTATCATTATTACTATTATTATATTTACTGTTATTGTTGTTATTATCTACATTATCATTATTCTTATTATTATCTACATTATCATTATTGTTATTATTATCTACATTATCATTATTGTTATTATTATCATTACTGTTATCAACATTATAATTATTGTTATTATTATCATTACTGTTATCAACATTCTAATTATTGTTATTATTTAATTATTGTTGTTCGTATAATTGTCATTGATTTTTTATCATCTTTTTAATGTGTCATAGTCATCATTGTTACTATCATTATTATTGTAATCATTAATATCATTATTACCATTATCATTATCATTACTATCATCATCAACATCATTATTATTATCATTAACATTATTATCATGATTAACGTCATTATTACTATCATTAATATTACTATTATTTTACCATCATTATAATTATTTTCATCATTACCATTACTATTTCTATTGCTATAGTTATCATCATCATCATAATTACTAGTATTGCTATAATCATTATTATTAGTAGTGTTATCATAATCATTATCATTGTTATTGTTAGTGTTATCATAACAAATATCATCATTATCATTTTCATTACTATCATTATTATTACTGTTATCATAATTGACGCCCTTGTCATCATTACTACTATTATTACTATCATTGTTATCATTATTACCATTGCATTCATTATTATCACTATTATTACTACCATCGTTATTGTTAATCATATGACCATTATTATTATAATGATTCATTATTTCAGAATCATAACTGTACCCGCAATCATCATGATTACAACTATTATCGCTATCTACTAAAAGTTATCAGTGTGGTAAATTTATTCATCCTTTCCTATCTTACCAAAAAATAACCTCTGACCTCGTTGTTTATCTCCTCCCGGCGTCGTTCATGACCTTGGGGATCCCCAGGAGGGAGTTGATCAGCTCCGAGTTGCGCTTGTGAGGTCCCGCCGCGAAGGCCGAGGGTCCCTGGGCCACGCGCAGGATCTGCGCCGCCAACTCCGAAACTATCTGTTTGGTGATACAATACAATAGTTACATTAATTTTCTTAATCTATTTTACAGGTCACGTAAATTCGAATTTGACGATAGTAAAAATAGCTTCTACGAAGATATGTATCACGTAAGTCTCAAATTTGACGAGAGAGAGAGAGAAGACAAGGTTTTGCGAAGCTCTGTACTAACCTCACGCTCGAAGTGGTTCAGAGTGTCCCCTGAAGCCGTCTGCTGAAAGCTCATGACCACGGCCACGACGAGGACTGCGACTACGGCTTTATACATCCTAAGCAACAAAACACTTCATTTAATACATATCAAAAGAAAATATAGCATATTAGATAACAGTAATTCCTACTTGATTAAAACTCGCTTATGCAATGACCTCTTACTAAATGGGAAACTGGAACCCTACTTGGATCTGTCGTTGCGATCGGCGTCGACGGTAAACTGACTGCAGCTTCCTAAGGACTTCACGTTATATGAAGACTCCGCTCTACGCACGCACGCGCCCTCACGCTCTCTTTCGACCGGCTTCGTTCTTCTTCCCGGTCACACACTTTCTTTTGTTTGTATAAAAAAGAAAAATCCAGGAATAAGGAGTTTCGCCGAAGAATCTAAAGTGGAATGTTTACAGATGAGCTGCAAAGCATTACCACTTTTGTATCGAAGGACCAGTGACAATCTGTAGTAATGTATTTGCATTCACAAATTCACAGCTATTCAGTAATCAAGTAATTGCTACGTAGCTTAATCAATTATTGTTTTTCTAATTTGTCTGGTGATACCGCAGTGAAATTAAAGAAATAATGAGACTACATATCCTTACTAACAGTGTCAACATTTGTGGCCTTAATTCTGCAAAGCAATTACCAGACATCTTGATGAAAGCTCCTTTGAAACCAACTCCTGCAAAGAATTATTAAGTAATTTCAGAAATCGAGTTTACGAGTATCATTGACGATCTGAAACTATATTATTTTGTACAAAATTGCAAAGGAAATTAAGAAACATAAAATGACCACAAAAATAAACATGAATTATGAATAGAAATTTAATTGAGATTTAATTCATACTTCCAAACACTTCCAATAGATACAGTGAGATGAATTAGAAAATCACATCAAAATGATGGTAAAAAAAAAAAAAAAAAAAAAAAAAAAAGGACTTTCTTAATTTACAGATATAAGATTTAGTCTCCTCCACACACATAAACAATCAGACGAAAAAACGATAAAAAAGGTGGAGTAAAAAATGCTGTCTCTTAGTGAGTCTATTTAACACTCGCTGATTCTAAATACACAAGGAGGAGCATTTTTGAAAATGTGAAAAGAGATACAAAGAATTCATTTTTGCTATTCTCTGAAGTTGCAAATTCGATTGCAAGAAGAAATGCGCAGCGCACACTCAAACACTCACACACACACACACACACACACACACACACACACACACACACACACACACACACACATATATATATATATATATATATATATATATATATATATATATATATATATTATATATATATATATAATATATATATATATATATATATATATATATATATATATATATATATATATATATATATATATATATATATATATATATATATATATATATATATATATATATGTATGTATGTATGTATGTGTGTGTGTTTATGTATGTTATAATATATATATGTATGTATATATATTTATTTATGTATATACATAACTATATACATATATACTATATACTATATACATATCCTCCCTCTCTCTCTCTTTTTATCCTCCCTGTCTCCCTCCCTCCCCCCTCTCTCCCTCTTTCTCTCCCTCTCTGTCTATAGACCGATTCGGTGTGACGTCACGAGTCGGAGTCGCCATTCCACTTGGTGAAAACAAACCCGTCGCTCGCAGATCCCTCGCTGTCAACGTGAAGGAAAATGGCGTATGATTTCTTTGGTTCTTCAAAAACCGAAGCGAAAAGGTGATATGAAGCAAAACTAGAAACTGTGTAGCTAAAAGAGTACTCGTACCGAAATCTGGATCGACGATCCTTCGAAATGACCTAAAATTGAATATTCTGACATCTACGACTATTCTATCAATAAAGCAGATAATAATGATAATTTTATAATAACATAATCTGCTACAGTACTGGATGGCGTTTAGCTATATAGTGTATTTTTTCTGTGAAATCAGTGCCATTTCCTAACCTCACTTTTCTTCTCATTTACTAGGTGTTTATACAAAGGAGACAATGAAGTCACGTATAGGCCTAAAAGCGCACAACGCATTTTTCTCTCTCCTCAATAATTTGATCTCAAGAGATAAGCCCTCTTCAGCTGTTTCTTTTGCTGGACCATATGACATCTCAAACAAAGGCAACAGGCAACTATATACCTGCTTTGTTTTCATTTAATGGACAGTGCTTGAAGGCACTTGGCATAAAGTCTGGGTGAAGTGGATCCGCGGATGGTTTGATTGTAAATATAAATTATGATAAATCAATTTATTACAAAAAAAATAAAAAATAAATAAAATGAAAATAATAGAATTACTTATGTGCTTTTTAGAATATATGACTACTGCCAAAACCTAATGTCGACAATGTTGATCTTGTTTGGCCTTGATAGGTAGTGTAGATAGACAATAGTTTGAAAGTAATTATCTGTCTCTGGAATTTGAAGTGTAATATATGAATATGTAGACCAATAAAATGTTCTAAGCAGATGTAAACATTTTCCACCAGGCGCCCAAGCACTCCCATCAGCGTTCATGCGTTTCATGGTCTGTAGGCCTACCCATCACTTCCATTATTCAGGTTTATTTTCGCGATCTGGAATTATATGAAAGGTTAAACCTTTCTTTCCCTTCATGCTGTGGTTCGAACAACCAACGGAAACAAAACTCGATATTTCACGCAAGGAAACGAAATTCTTAGAAAAATTCAGGGACTTTGTAAGCAAAGCGCAGTGATTTTCGAACGAACGAGGGTTTGTTTTCACCAAGTGCTCGTTGCTAGGGGCGGTTGCTAGGCGTTACTGAATCGGTCTATATATATATATATCCCCCCTCTCTCCCCCTTCCCCCCTCTCTGTCTCTCTCTCCCTCCCCTCTTTCTCTCTCTCCTTTGCATTCTTTATGATTTGGTGATGCTAGTGTCAGGATTATAACACAACCAGTGGCCCTTAATTATGCGAAAAATAATCCAAAGTATATATGGTACAATGATTTCTTTCAAATAGGTTCGGCTGTTCTTTGTATCGTGATGCAGATGAATGCACATACTGTAAGAAAAAGTAAGGAGAACGCATGCGCATCAGATGGAGGAAAGAGCGAGAGGTAGATAAGTGCTAAAGCCTCCGTCAGTTCCTCAATACCATTCGTATTGCAACGGAAGGTAAGGTATATGGTGGGAACACTTTTGAAATTATATAAAATATAAAACTTTTTGAATGATCAAAGACACACACACACACATACAAATCTCCCTCCCTCATCTCTTTCTCTTATCTCCCAATTTCTCTCTAAGCACGCACAAAGTCAGGCAGATATAATACTTTATTTCCAGTCGTTTTACCTTACTATATTTTAAACATTTCAGTCGCTCAAAGCTACCAATCACAAAGAAGATGCGCAGCGCTGTAGTGGTAGCCCTGCTGGTGACGTCAGCCCTGTGCCTTCAGATGACGTCAGCCCAGGAAAAGTTGACGTGCTTTGAGCGTGAGGTATAAACGGATTACTGGATGTGCGTTCTGTAAGAATTGTCCATGCCTTAATTTTCTCAACATTCTCATTATCAACATGTACCAACGAAAACCAAATATATAAAATTATATATTTTGACGCCTAAAAGGTTGTGTCCGAGTTGGCGGCGCAGATCCTGCGCGTGGCCCAGGGACCCTCGGCCTTCGTGGCGGGACCTCACAAGCGCAACTCGGAGCTGATCAACTCCCTCCTGGGGATCCCCAAGGTCATGAACGACGCCGGGAGGAGATAAAAAGGAAGTCCGTCCATTTTCTTTAAAGGTCCAAGTTTCGTACAGTATTATTCATTCATAAAAGAAAGCCTCTGAAGCTAAAATATTTCATTTTATCCCCTTGTACATATGACTCCGATGGCTTACAAGTAATCGGAAAATATGTAATAATCTGCAAAGGTATATGAGAGGACTTCTGCCAAGTTAATTAACCATGATAAGTTTTATATTCCTTAAAACTGTTTCCAGTGTATTTATTTACTCCCAGAACCCCGAGGACGCGACTAAACATCGGGAATCCCTAAACCCACGAAGGAAGCTGGAATAAAGGTGGATAGCAATCTTCTGTCTTGCTATTCTTAGTTCTTTAGAATATGTGTTCAGTAGGATATCTTTAACCCACACCATCTATGAAATCTATACTTTAGCAGAACTCGAAACAGAAAATATGTATCTGATGAAACTTTGATTAATATTAAACTAGTTGTATAATTTCTTTTGTTTTTTAATTACATCATATTTTAGTGAAGATATGGTGAGTACATCGATATCTTGTAATAAAATCGCAACTTGAAAACAAAGTTTAGAATTTCTTTAATATCTGATTACCCCTGTGAAGCATACATCTCTCTTACCTTTTATTATTCAGGTCTAATGAATAATTTGTTAAAGTAGGAATCACATACAACTTAGGAACTGTGTACTTGTATCAAAATGAGATCTTAAGATTTGTTTAAACTCTCTCTTCTTTTTTTTCTTTCTTCTCTCTCTCTCTCTCTCTCTCTCTCTCTCTCTCTCTCTCTCTCTCTCTCTCTCTCTCTCTCTCTCTCTCTCTCTCTCTCTCTCTCTCTATTACTATTATCATCATCAGTAATATAATTGTCACTATCATCACCATCATCATTATTATTGCTATTATTATTACCACTAATATTGTCATCATAATTATCATTATTATTTATATTTTTGTTATTGTTATTGTACGTGAGAAGAACACACACAAATAGAATATAATACTTCTACAGTAACAACGGATTCAAAACACGGCGTTTCGAACTCAGATCTTCATAAGGTATAATAAAAAAACAGGAGCTTTTCCTTTTTTTCCTTTTTGATAAGGAACTTTCTATTTGTATTCTTGTTCATGTACACACAAGCACATTTACACACCGGTGTATACGTATCGCCCAAACAGCTACTATAAGAATACTCGTAATGCTATTGCTATGATATCATAACCGAAATAAAAAAAAATGAAGACCGTAAGCAACACTCATTGTTATATAATTACCACGCACCTACATCTGTAATATTTAGAGTGGAATAAATATTGCAAAGGCAAAACAGAAAGCAAAGGCAATTTTTCCCCCAAAAGTACACTATTACGTGAATCAACTTCATCGAGCAAAATGTGTGTCACGTAGGTACTGCTGTTACATAACTCTGAATCAGCGTTGAGTCCAATTCATGAATATTTCATATCTATCTGAAAATGTTTTTGTTTTAAAAATTTCTGACGCGAAGGTTATCGCGTGAATATAAAATAGAAGTAAAAAAGAGTAGGTTATGTAACTTGCATTTAACAGTATTCCTCACGATTTTGTTCCTAGCACTATAATCTGATTCACGAATGAATCGGTATAACTCTCTTATTAACATATTTAGGTGAATTATAATCTCTCTCTCTCTCTCCCTTCCTCTCTCTCTCTCTCTCTCTCTCTCTCTCTCCTCTCTCTCCTCTCTCTCTCCTCTCTCTCTCTCTCTCTCTCTCTCTCTCTCTCTCTCTCTCTCTCTCTCTCTCTCTCTCTCTCTCTCTCTCTCTCTCTCTCTCTCTCTCTCTCTCTCTCTCTCTCTCTCCTCTCCTCTTCTCCCCTGCCCCCCTCCTCTCTCTAATGATAATGATCATATTAAGATAATAGTAATAATACCAATAGCGTAATAGTAACAGTAGTAATAGTAACAGTAACAATAACAATAATAATAATCATGATAATGATGCTACATCGTTGAAACAAGAATTGTTCGGAAGTAGGATAAATAAAGCAAGGGATAACAAAGAAAAGACAATTATGTAGTGTGTCATGTAAAAACAAACACGACTGTGCATGATGTTAGGTCTTCCTTATGGTAAAAAGTATTGACAGTTTTTGAGTATACGTCATTTTCTTGATTTTTTTCTCGTCTAAAGGGAATTTATCAGTCTTTTTTACTATAAGAGTGTATGAGAAATAGCTATGATGTGAAAAAAGCACTTTAGAGTAAGGTTTTAATTGTAAAAACAACGTTTATAGTATTTCATATTGATATTGTTTTTAAAAATCATGTTTCGGCATAAACGACAGGCTTGAAACATCTATCATTCTTTAACCATTTTTATTTTGCAGAGGATTTTGGATGCCCTGTTCCACAATCTGTGCTAAGCAAGTTTCGTTCGGACATAATGATGTATATATATATTTTTTTATGTGAATACAGATCAGTGTATGAAGTAATAATACATCCTCAAATTCGTCAGCGTGATGTTTGGTTGGAAGTATGAAAACGAGTGAAGTAATTTTAACCTTGGAGCATTTATTAACAAAAGCATCAAGGGAAATCTGAGGACTTTTGCCTGGATTGAGCATCCTTTCCTAAGTCTGATCTTGTGGGACTCAAAACTAAAAACAGGGCAATATAGCACGAATATCACTTTATTCCAGGAAACAGATTATGGTAACTAAAACTTGTATATTGGATGTGTTTTTTTCAGGAATACTTGTTGAAAATATTATGATATTTTTCGAGAAAGATATGAACACATGCATATGATATTAGGTAGGGTCAGTAGTTCCAGACGTTCTTTCATATGAAGAATGTTCCAAGAGTTCGTTTATCTCCTTCCGGCGTCGTTCATGACCTTGGGGAGTCCAAGGAGGGAGTTGATCAGCTCCGAGTTGCGCTTGTGAGGTCCCGCCACGAAGGCCGAGGGTCCCTGAGCCACGCGCAGGATCTGTGCCGCCAGCTCTGCCACCACCTGTAAGAGGTCGTGTTATAATATTCCGCTGAAGACAGGCTTTAGACTGTATTTCAGAATCCCAAAAAATAGTTAAAGCAGCAAATTTTCCTTACTTGGCTATAGCTTTAGCACTTACTTCACGCTCGAAGTATTTGAGGTCATCCTGAGCCGTTGCCACCTGAAGACTCATGGCCGCCAACGCCAGAAAAGCCAGGACAACAAAGCAACGCGCCCTGGAAATGAACAACTAATTAATTTACCATATAATACGAGAGATTCATAAATGCCGGCACACATACACACACAAAATTACATGATGAATTTACACAAGCATAAACACAGTAACGAGTTCACAAAAAGGAACAAGAAATAAAAATAAAACGTTACGTTTC